ATCTAGATGACACCAACAACTGTCCATTGCTGGAAGATGTTGTAACTGATCATGATAACTCTTCCCTTTGGCTAATGAAAGTACCTTATGATGTAAGTATTCTCTATTCACTCTGATGAAGGGCTAACACTTGTGACATCAGCTTTGAAACTTTTAACAGTGGCCAATTTAGTTGTTAATACTAAATTACCTGTTAAACTCTCCTACCTACACAGCACCACAGTTTCTCAGAAACTTACCTCCTTTAATTCAAGTATCCAACTTAGTTTTCTTTCCCAAAATATGCTCCAATTGAGTGTCGATCAACCAGAACCAAAGTAATCACTACGGCCAGTCAGAACAAAAGAATATATCACAAGGAGCCAATAAGAACTGAGGATGAAAACAGGCCAGTTGCCTTTAGCACAGGAAAACACACTTAACCAATGCAAGTTGCACTTGGTTTAAGAGTATAATTTGATTGGTTGAGGAAGAAGGACAAGTTATCTGGACCAGTCACAAAGTGAAATCAAGCAAAACTTAAGAAACTCCAGATTATTTGATCTAAGACTGTTGTAATAATGACTGTGAATATATAATATCATACATGTGAACTGTGGATTAATGAATGGTGAGGAGAGTGATCTTTGCAATAATGAACACTATTTAATCTTCAAATCTTAACCTGCAGTTCTCATATATGACATTCATATTTTCTTAGTCATCACAGGTAACTTAATGATCCAACCTAATTCATTATTTCAAACTAACAAAATGACCAGCTCCCAGTTGGTATATTAGCTCAGTTGGTAAGGCATTGCACCAGTATCACAGAGGTCATGGGTTCAACTCTTGCATAGCCCTGAATTCTTTTCCAGACCTCATTTTTACTGCTGCTTCAGAAGTGTTCATTACTGCTAAGATTGCTCTCATGTTCATGTTCTAATTAAATAAGCAAATTGGCAAATCAGATAGAGAACAAATCAGTCAACCAGGCAATGAGAAGTGCTTTAGTGTCCTGACTTACTTTTAATTTCTATTTTTAGTTTAACTTGGAAAGTCTAACAGGCCAGACTGTTATTTTAAATGGATCACAGCATTTATCTCTTGATGTCACACAGGTATTTACAAGGTCTGCTTGTTCTAGTTGATATTCAGAAAATTAAAAATAACTCAGTCTGTTATTTAAGTATTATGACCTATTGGTTGGTCATGCTAGGTTTTGTTTATTGTGTGCCATTTATGTACTGAGATTTACAGTGTGAAATACTATCATTCGTGTCTCTGATTGGAAGAGCAATTATTTTCACATTTTTACATTTTTTATTTTCACAGTGTAAATCGGAAAGTGCTTGAAAAGTTTTTTTATTCACTCATCGAGTGGCATTAAAAAACCTCACTTCTTTTGCTACACTCACTCATTCTTTTTTTTTTTGATGCATGGCAACTTGTGAATGAAAATTGTTTGTGCACACTTTCCATGATATAATCTATGTGTCCCTCAAGAGTAAGTGGTTTGACCTCAGAGTTGAGATTATTGAAATGTCAGTCATTTGTACAGACAAAAGCGCTTCTTGGGACATCTCTTACCTGGATGATCAGAGTGCATGTACATGATCAACTGCTGATGCTATTGTGGTGATTGTCAGAAAAAGAGGCAGCTCTTAATTATATTCATGGTTGTTCAGTGTAGCAGCTATTATAACATAGCTAGTAAATTTGTCTAATCAAATTCAATTGCATAAGCTTGCTTCATATTCCTATTGTGCACGCTCATGATGTCAGCAAACAAATCCCTTGAGAAAAAATTTTCCATCGGGTTGAAAATGTTATAAAACAATTGGTTCATATGTCAGCTGTGCGTTCATCGAGGTATGAAGCACTTGGGAAGTTTGGAGAGCACTCCAGAAGCTAGAGTTGCCCATGGCTACACCTCGAGCAACTCTTACGCATCTTTTGTGCTCTCCAAACTTCCTGCGTGCTTCATATCTCGATGGATGCACAGACATATGAACCAATTGTTAATTGTTCTTTGGGGAACTGTTGGATAATAATTGGTCTGTTGTTTGTCTTAAGATTCTTACTCTCTAATAGCGTAGCAAGCAATTTGTATTTTAGGCAATACTGTACTTTCACGTTTGTAGAGTTGCTTTTCTCAACATGCACTGCAAAGTATTCAAAACTGTACAAAATTTTTCTTCAAAAATCAACTTTCACCACTGCACATGATGAGGCACAGACTTGTTAATCCTTTAATTCCCATGAGTGACCAAACAAGAATTTCTCCTTACATTATCAATACAGTATCAAGCATACAAGTGACAAGAATAAAGAAGAAAGCTCAATTACATGAAGGAAACTACTAGTTGATCCGATACTAAATTCTCCAAATTGACATCATAAGTATTTTATGACAGACAGTAAGGAGAACTGCTAATGAGATCTTGGGAGTGAAAGTGTTAATTACTTGGAAATGAGTCTTAAAAGTACAATTAAGTGAGTACTATGTTTTTACATGTGAAATTTGTGTTTACAGTCTGTATATGCATCCACAGGGCAGAGAGAAAAAAAGATATGAAATGCATTCAAGGGCAGGTAGCACCGCTGAGGTAATTATAACCATGCCACTTTAAAATTTGTTCCTTCAAGTTGGGAGCAATGGTTTTCTGTTGTTTTTTTTATTATTATTTCAAATGTTTGTTTAATTGTTTTTGTGATTTTTCAGCTGTCTTCTTTTACTGTATTGCTACCATCTTCCAAACGAAAATCTTTTTGTTCAGGTAACAATGATACTATTTAACCTTTTGCACCCTAATATCAGTTTACATATTCTCTATACTGTTCTCTATGCATTTATTAAGGTGCTGTTAAGGAGAATTTGTTTAAAAATCAAGTGCTTCTTTTGTTGGTGATCATTTCCTTAATTCTCGTGACCATAATTTTTGATTTAGGGGTAAGATTGTAACGAGAAATTTGAAGCCAAGCACTCTTAGGGGTGAACAGGTTAAATTATCAGACTCCCAAGACAACAAAAAATATTTCTGTCATACTACCCAATAATAATGGCTCACTTTGCCCCTTCTCTAGTAAAAAAAAAGGACTCCATTATACCTAAGAATGACAGTAATGTGTTTAAAAGCCTTTTACGACAGTTTCTATTTAAAGTATGGTAGGTTTATGACCTTTGAAGTACCACCTGTTTATGGTTTGCCCTAAATTTAAGGAAAAGTTTGACTTTCAATTGCCCCTCCCCCCCCTTATAAATTTTTGGCTCCCTCCAAACTTCTTCTCTCGAAAAAATCCCCAGTTTGGAAGACATGGAAATATTTAATCTCCCCTTGGAACTATTAGAGTGATATCACTTTTTTTCATTCAATTTGCTGATATTAAGAAACCTTTCTATCTTTAGCTGGTACATTTAGTGGACAGATGAGTGTCATTCAGTCTGTGGTAGTTCCTCCGTCCACAAAACAAGAAGTCCCAGAGTCTTCCAGGCAAAGTTCACCGAGTGAGTAGTTTTGGACGTGATCGCTATTCGGGTACCGTAACTTATTCCTTTCATGCATTACGTTGCTGCTATTTGATCCCAGCTACAATCTTCTTTTTGTTAGTCTATGGTGGTTTTCGCCTCCTAAAACTCCTAAAAGGTCGCCCCAGCTAGATCTTCAATGCTTACCTCTCCTCGAATCAATGCTCCAGCAAATATTCAAAATAATTTGTCTTCAAAGGGTAGAATTTTATCAAGTTTTTAAAGATTTTTCGGCAATGAGATACACTGTAGTTTGTAGCCTTTCGAAATTCCATCTTATTTTCGAAAGCACAGGGAATGAAAGCCTTTGAAACTCGTTCGATATACCTCCATGTCATTGGAAAGGTACGTCTTTTGGTGTCTGTAGTAAAACTGATTGTTCATGTTCACAAAATATGTTTATTTTTCATTTAACAGAGAAAGCGAAGCGAACATCAAGCCTCGTTGAAGACGACATGGTATCAAGTTCATCTGCTAAGAAAAAGAAGAATAAAGAACAAAACCACATTACCGAAGAAAGTTTTCTTGAATCACCAAAACATAAAAAGGATAAACGGAAAACTGACGTAGCAGAAACACCAAATGAAGCTAGTGATAAATATCAGAAGCGCGATTCTCCGAAGAAGATAAAGGAGAAGGAGAGACATAAAGTTGATCTAACACAGTCAAGATTTGAACCAAAGACTGAAAGAACAGCAATCGGAGAACAGTGTTTAATACAATCGCCAAAGAAGCGTAAAAGAGAGGTTGTCGAAAAACAGGGAAACAGTGAAGATTCACCATTTACGTTAAATGAAAAATCGCTAAGGAAACGTAAAACAGATGTTGTCGAAATTCAAGGAAACAATGAAGAATCACCACTGATGTCAAGTAAGAAAAAGAAGAAACGTAAATCCAGTGATACAGGAAGCCCAGAATCTGCTCTGCTTGAGGAAACTATTCCACGGTCCAAGTCGGATAAAGACAGTTGTTTAGAAGTGAAGAACATGGATTCCATTAAACGCAAAAAGGATAAAAGTGGACATGAATCTGAACCCGAAAAATCGCGGAAGAAAAAGAAACATTCAAAAATGAAAACAGGATGATTTATGATGACAGCGGTTTGCGAGAAATACTAAAATTAAACTTGTTTCTGTTTGCTTTCAGCCGTTCCTTTTTCTGGGCAAAATTCTTTTGTATCAACTGTGAACAACCATTCCTCTTCAGGTGTTGTTGGAAGGATTATTGGAAAATTAAGGAAAAGTACTGTTCAGTTCTGCCGTTTGATGTTGCCTTAATTAAATATTTTACTTCAATTCGCTTCTTATGCATCTTTATTTATTTGTTTTCTGCATCACCAATCTAAATGTTATGAAACTTTCTCTGTCTATGATACTTAAGGAATTCCGGTCACTAAGTTCCAGTTCCCTGCGAAAAACATTCGAGGTTTTCGTTCTCCAGATGAGTAAAAATTGGCTAATATTGCTGGTGAAAGTCGGGAAACTAGTTGGTTTTGTTATCCCTCGAGTCTTGGGAAAACAAAACTGACTGTTTCCCTCGGAACCATACATTTAGTGAATAATATTAGTCATCGGCATTTTTCGTACGGACTTCATGCTGTGGCAAAATATGTTTCAGCCGACAGTGGACTATTTTGAACTCTTTACTCCACGAATCTCAGCTGAGATGCTTCACAATACATGCAGAAAGTCGTTGTCTAATTCGACTACTGAAACAAACACTTCAAACCTGCTGGTCTCTGGAACACATTTCATGCAAGAAACACCGTTCACTCCTTCTCTTACAAGGGCAGTATTCCAATTATCGGTTCAGAAAAAACGAAATTTCTGGTTAATCAGCGCACTCTTTGTGTGTTAAAAAGGAGGCCTTTATAGTCTTCGTTAGGAGACTTTCTTTTAATTACCTTCAATATGAAAATTTTGACAATTTATAGAAAATCTTAAGAAGAAGGAACGTCATGGGAAATGAGTTGTCTTGATGTGACAGCCTCAAGCAGAGAAGACAGTTTCCTCACGACTTGAAATATCCTCACTTGTCAGCTGGCAATTTCTGGGAATCTTTTGATTATCGCATGTATTCGTGAAGTTCCCTCTCTTCATCTGCCATCGAGGACTTTACTGGATTGTCTTGCCTTGACCGACTTTTGTATGTAATAAATATTTTTTCTCCAGAAAGGTCCCAAATTGTTCTTTATTTTCAAATAAGTTACTTAACCACCAGCGCACTCTTTTCAGGGGTGTCGCTGCTAACAATCACCGCCATTAATGTGGACAGACTTCTCGCTTTGAATCGAAATTCATGCGTTGAGGGGATTCCAGTCCTTGCTTCCCAGATTCCAACGCTTGAGCTACCGAGCCATATGTTAAAAACGAGGCTTGTAATTATGCGTGGGGCAATATTAAATCAAAACCTAGTCAGCGTTATTTACTTAATGATCACGAAAGTAACATGAAGCCATTGTCAATGGATAGTAAAAGTAAAGTAATTAAAAAGAGCTTGAACGTGACCCAACTTTTTTTCCCTCTTGAAATGCCCTTCTTCCTTTAAGTATTCACCGTTCTTTCAAACCCTTAAAGACAATTTTATACTCCATCTCTTGATAAATATTTATTGTCAAAATACAAAACAAATCCGAGATATTAAATTCATTCAAGATTTGCAGCAAACTTATCAAAATTCAGTCAAAGTTAGACCTGATTACTATCAAAGATAACAATTAACTATACGAATACAGATCAGTTTGGCAAACATATGTCAAAAAATGGTCAAAATAAATATCACTTCGTTTGAAAAAAGAGGAAGCGGAAGGAAGCTAAGTTATTAAAAAAAATGATAACAAGAAACCGCATTTAGACTTAAAGCTCACAATTTTTAACGCATGGTCTATTGATAAGTTTGGTCACCGTCATGCTGAGTAGAGGAAACATGTAGATCTAAAATTTCTAAATACAGATCTATTAAACAGCGAGATAGACTACGTCTTTCATAGATTAATATCGTTGCTAGTTAATTATTGTTTTAATTAAAATGTCGTTCCCCATGTTTGATTATTTTATCTGAAATGTTTAATTTCCTTAGTAGAGTGTGAGTTTCTTTGCAAATGACAAACACACTTCATAGTTTTGAAGTTTTCTGCATCATAAGGTCAGCAGGCTCTGGGAGGATCACTTCATGCTTGGCCAAGGTTAGCCTTCATGCAAAAGAGGTTTTGAAAACTACCTTAAACGTTCCACTTATCCCTTAGTTTGCAAAAGAGGTGGGTTCCTTATACAGTGAATAATTTAGACCGTCGGAAAAACCTTGACTATGCAGGAGGAGTTGCTAAAGTTCAATACTCGAACAAGGGATGTTGTAAAGAAAGGTGTTCTTGCATTTTGTCTTGTCTCGAGCGCGGGACAAAGAAAAGATTTAGAGTCCCAAATTAGAATTGCAACTCAGACCTTCGAACTGCAAGCTTTGACGCTCAACAACTGAGTCATGGATACTTTCTGGCGAGCTACAACCATTTGCGAAAATGGAAACTCTTAAGAAACTCTTAACGGTGGCCAGTTTAAGTTACAACTCAGTTGATAAAACCCAACAATCTATTCCAAAATGTAAGAAATAGGCAAAATGATGCTATGATTCGCAAGGATCTTCCGAAGTTAAATATTACTTTTTCACCCTTTTCCTTTTTCTTTTCAATTACAAGTTATGCAAACTAACTTTTTCTCTTAATAGAGCTTTCTTGATCATTTTATCATGTTACAGATTGACGAAATATATCTGTGTGGCTGGGAGAGTTGGGTCTCTGAAGAGCTTATTAAAACAAGCCTTGACTGATACTGAGGAATTATTGGATAACCTTCCAATTATATCAAATACAAAAGATGCCGAGTTTAAACATATCCAAAGATATAAACTCGACAGATCAAGTCGTCTCTTGCATAAGAAATCTTGAATTTTACCAAATAATTTTCCTTGCAACTTTGAATGTTCTTTCTGCCATGATTGCACTAATAGGAAATTCTATTGTAATTTTGGCTCTTCTGAAAACGACGTCCCTTCATCCACCTTCAAAAGTTTTCCTTGGATCACTTGCTCTTACTGATTTATGTGTTGGGGTCGTTTCACAGCCCTTTTATGTCATGATTCTATTACTCCGCGGTAAAATATGTCTTTATATACAAATAATCGCCGTCATTAGCATTAATTTGTTTGGAGGGGCATCACTACTTACCGTCACAGCGATCAGCGTGGACAGACTCCTCGCCTTAAAAATGATGTTGAGATACAAGCAAGTGGTAACATCAAGACGCACACGATTCACTGTTGCTATATTTTGGCTTGTGAGTGTTATAATTTCGATTATACTGGTAGTCAACTTTTTTATCATCCTTCACATTATCTGTACAGTTCTGCTGCTTTGTACGGTAACTTCCACCTTCTGTTACGCAAGAATATATAACATACTCCGTCACCACCAGAATCAAATTCAAGTTATTCACGTTCAAGCTGCTCCCCTCAGCGAAGGGAGCAGCTCCTTGATTGTAATATCACGATACAAGAAGACAGTGTCCAGCGCATTATGGGTACAGGGGGTATTTCTAGCTTGTTACAGCCCATATTTATTTGCAATTATATTTATCCTAACTGGTACATCAATATCATCGTTTCGTTTCTTTTGGGAACTCGCAGTGTCCCTGGTGCTGTTAAACTCAAGTTTAAATCCATTTATTTTTTGCTGGAAAATTGACGGTGTGAGAAAAGCTGCGAAGGACGTCATAAAATCATGGTGCTGATTTGTTATAAAGTCTACTTGTCTTCAATTTCTATGAAGTGGCAAGGTTGGAATTCTATCCCCTTAGAAATGTAATCCCCAAAAAGCGAGAAGACAAATCAAGAGAACACATATTCTTTGGGACGAAATATAATTTCAGAAACAAATCCAGTATCTGTCCAAAAGTTAATATATACCGTTTAAAAATGCTCATGTAAATCGTCTAATTCTTAAATACAAGTTAGTGTTGTAAATGTTTAAAAATTAGTTGCTTTTTTATGTTTTACTTTGTAACACTGATGTGTAGTTTTTATCTTGTGAGCAAAGATGTTGTGGCAACAATTTAACTTATGATAGACGTTGTGGCAGTCAGGATTGAAACGAAGAAATAATACATATACGTCCTATGTGCAAAAATTAACGTTTTGGGTTAGTCCTGACACACTTTCGTTGATGTTATCACGAGAGTCTTCGCATGAGTTTTAAAGTTTTGTTCCTTATCATTCGCTCGGTCACCGCTTCTAACAATGCGGTGGGGGGAAGGTACCGTTTTGTCCCATGAATGTCAATTTTAGATAAATCTCTTCGTTAATACCTCTGTATTGGTTATTCCGCCATAGATTATTCTTTAATAAATGGCGATGAAAAAGTATAATTGAAAAAAATCGCAGATGCACAAGGAGTGAAAGATCATAGCGATGACAAATGGAAATTTAGGTAAATACAAGTTGAATTATTTGAGAAAAGGCGATCTGAAATCGAAAAATTGACTGTTTTAGCAGAAATATATATATGCAATTAGTGTTGCATAAAGTGCTACAACTATAAATTTCTGGGCTAGAACGACGCCGGGTATCTTAACCAAGTGAGCTGTTTGACTTTTAGCAGAGCCCTTCAAATGTGAAAGATACACAAAACTCTTCAAGGAACCGTCTAACGACTTCAATAAAAAAGTAAAGGATAGAAATACCTCCTTAACTATTAAAAATACTTTGAGCTCTACAATAGCCGTGGATTTTTATTGATTGATTCCGTCTCATTGGATAAATTATAACAATATTAATTATAATATCACATGGGAGAGGCGGTGACCTAACGGTTAATGCGCCAGACTCCGGACGGGAGAAGTCTGATCTCGGTTTAAGACCGAGGCAGGTCAGCGTGTTGTGTTCTTGGGTAAAACACTTAACTTACTCTCCAATGTATAAGAGTAGAGGGAGCCCGGAAAAACGCTGAGGAAAACCTTGCCATCCATGGAAGGGTAATGATACTCCTAAACGCTTCATGCTTAGGAAAGATAAATAAGCTACGTTTGGCTGAGGCATTTAGATCGAGTTCTGACTTTACCGTTACCCTTAAGTATACTTTGTTTAACACTCAAGCCTCAGCTCTTCTGAAAAGATAATTACTTATTGAAATTCGATTCTTTCTCAGTGCACCATTAGTCTTCCTTCCATTTTAGACAACTATTTATTTAAGTCGACACATTAATTGAACTTTGGAGAGCTCTACTTTCTTCCGCTGAAATTGAATTTG